GAAGGGCAACCCATCGAACAACGCAACAACGCAGAGCTCGGATGAACCTAGAAGCGGAGGTGCCCATAACTATCTGGTAGGCACCGGACGCGGAAGAGGAGAGCCGCGCAACAACACTTGGGTGAGAAAATCCGCCAACTACGACAAGAAGGCTTTCTGTGAGTATCACCAGACCTACGGGTGCTCAACGGCACAATGCCGAACCCTAGGAGCAAAACTCGCGGCTAAGATGGCAGCGGGAGAGCTCCAAAACGCGGTCAACCTCAAAGACCTCGTCCCTAATGAACCACAAGGAAGAGCCGAGCCGAGCGGCGCGGCGGAACCCGCGAATCCTCCCCGACGAGGCGATAACTCCAAGCGCGACAGGATAGGCGAACCCGAAGAGTGACCCGAGCCCAGGCAAAGGATCAATATGATCATGGGTGGATCTCAATACTACCAAGATACCGTGTCCTCCATCAAAGCCTATCAGCGTCGAGCCGAAGCAAAGGAGAATTGGACAGAACCAACTGACATCCCAAACACAGTGATCTCCTTCGCCGAGGAGGAAACGGCAGGAATCGATCGACCTCACAACGATCCGTTGGTGATTGAGTTAACGATCAGGGATCATGACGTAGCAAGGGTGCTCATCGATACTGGAAGCTCAGTGAACGTTATCTTCAGGGAAACACTCAGAAGAATGGGAATCGACCTCTCCGAGGTGGGATCCCCAAACCTCTAACTGGATTTTCAGAAGAAACGACGATGACTATGGGAACGATCAGGCTTCCTGTGGTAGCTGGCGGAGTCACTAAGATCGTCGAATTCTGCGTCACTGATCACCCAGCAATCAACAATGTGATAATGGGAACTCCGTGGATCAACGGAATGAGGGTGGTACCCTCCATTTATCATCTCTGCCTTTAATTCCCAACTCCAGCAGGTGTCAAAACGATCTGGGGGAATCAGAAGGAGTCACGAATGTGCTGCCTATCCGAGCACAAGCTGAGGAACCCCGTCACCGATGCACGAGCAGACATAGACCGTAAAAAGATGAAAACAGACCGAGAGCCCGCGAACGAGCTCTCGAAACTCTTATAGCAATTACAGATCGCGGAGAGCCGCGAAACACGCGCCGAGCCGGTATGTGATGCGGTGGACTCGGTGTGCATAGACGAGGCGCGTCCGGAGCGATGCGTCGAAATAAGAACAAAACTGGAAGAGCCTCTGAGAAGCGAACTCCTTTCCCTCCTCAAGGAGAACATCAACACCTTTGCCTGGACAGCGGAAGATATGCCAGGCATAAGCATCGACGTAACCTATCACGAGCTGAATGTGGATCCGACCTTTAAACCAGTCAAGAAGAAAAGAAGGAAGCTCGGCCCCGAACGAGCTAAAGCAGTGAACGACGAAGTCGAGAGGTTACTCAAAGTAGGATATATCGTCGAGGCCAAATATCCGGACTGGCTCGCTAAACAGGTTTATTTCCCGCTCCACAGACAAGTGCCTGCCCTTCTACGACACCCTCCGAGGAAACAAGAAATTTGAGTGGGACGAGCGATGCGAAGCAGCTTTCCAGGAGTTGAAGAATTATCTGGCGAGCCCACCGATCTTAGCAAAACCAGTCGAAAGAGAGCCGCTCTTCCTCTACATCGCAGTGTCTGCTACAGCTGTAAGCGGAGTACTTATCCGAGAAAAATGATCCGAGCAAAAACCCATTTTCTACATCAGCCAAACACTGACCGATGCCGAGACCCGCTACCCCCAGATCGAGAAGGTCACCCTAGCCGTCGTAGCCTCGGCCCGCAAACTGCAACCGTATTTTCAATCACATTCGATTGTTGTGCTCGCTACACTTCCGCTGCGATCGATCCTACACAGCCCGAGCCAATCCGGTCGGCTCGTCAAGTGGGCCATAGAGCTAAGCGAGTACGACATCGAGTATCGGAACAGGTCGTCCGCAAAGTCACAGGTGCTCGCAGATTTTCTCATTGAACTTCCTGCCGAAGCAGCAAACAAGCCGACTCTAGACGAAGTATGGACGCTGCACGTCGATGGCTCGTCGTCTAAACATGGCTCGGGGATAGGAATCCGTCTCACCTCTCCCACCGGAGAAATATTGGAGCAGTCTTTTCGCCTGAACTTCCACGCCTCGAACAATGAAGCAGAATACGAAGCACTGATCGCCGGCATACGACTAGCGCAGGAAATCAGGGTTCGAAAGATAAGGACTTTTTGTGATTCACAGCTCATAGCATGCCAGTTCAACGGAGAATATGAGGCGAAGGATGGACGAATGGGAGCTTAACTCAAGGTGGTCCGAGAGTTGGTGCAAAAGTTCGACGAGTTCGAACTCACGCGAATCCCCTGAGGAGAAAACACTTCCGTTGACGCCTTGGCAGCACTCCTTCGACCTCGGACCCAGACCTCAGACGGACGATCCCAGTCAAATTCATCGAACGTCCTAGCATCGAAGAGGTGGAAGGAGTTCGGCTGATAAATCCTCCTGAACAAGAACCAGAGGACAACGAAGCCATTCCTATGGACGAAGACACCTCACCAGCCGAGCCGGAATACGGCTGCGACAAAAAATGGCTCGGAGCTATCCGAGTGTATATCGCCGATGGAGAGGTTCCAACTGAAAAATGGGAAGCCCGCAAATTCAAAGCTCAGGCCGCGCGGTATGTCCTTGTCGATGGCGAGGTGTTTAAATGGAAATTTTCAGGGCCTCTCATGACATGGGTCGAAGGACCGGAGGCAAGAAAGATCATGCACGAGGTGCACAGCGGCGCGTGCGAGAACCATTCCTGCGGAAGGTCGCTCGCTATCAAGATAAAACGGCACAGCTACTTCTGGCCCACGATGATCAAGGACTGCGAGAAATTTACGGCGAAGTGCAAGAAGTGCCAGCGGCACGCTCCAACAATTCAACAACCTACCGAGTTGCTCTTGTCAATTTCGTCACCTTACCCGTTCATGAGATGGTCGATGGACATCGTCGGACCTCTACATCGCTCGAAGCAGAAGCGTTTTCTGCTCGTCCTCACGGATTACTTCTCCAAGTGGGTCGAAGCCGATTCCTACGCAAGCATAAAAGATGTTCAAGTCAAACACTTCGTCTGGAAAAATATCATCTGCCGACAAGGGGTCCCCTACGAGATAGTCACCGACAACGGATCCCAGTTCATCTCAACACGCTTTGAAGCCTTCTGCGAGAAGTGGAAAATCCGCCTAAGCAAATCTACGCCAAGATACCCTCAAGGGAACGGGCAAGCCGAAGCAGCCAACAAGACGATCCTCGACAGTCTGAAAAAGTGGCTCGACGCCAAAAAAGGACGGTGGGCAGACGAACTCGAAGGAGTCCTTTGGTCTCGTCGGAAAATTCCGCGCCGAGCCACTGGGGAAACTCTATTCGCTTTGGTCTACGGAACAGAAATCGTAATTCCCCCCGAGGTGGATTTCCCAGGTATTCGACGAAGACTTCTACCAGGACAGGAGGGCTTGAACCACTTAATGATGCTAGATGAGCTCGACCTAATCAACGAAAAGCGCGACCAAGCCTTAATTCGAATCCAGAACTATCAACAAGCAACGGCGCGATACTACAACAAAAACGTTCGTAGTCGAAGATTCAAAGCAGGGGAGCTCGTCCTCCGAAAGGTCTTCCAAAACACTGCCGAGAAGAACGCATGAAAGCTCGGGGCAAATTGGGAAGGTCCTTACAAGGTTACAAAAGTGGTTCGTCCAGGAGTCTACGAACTCGCAACACTAGCTGACGAAGCGATTCCAAGATCATGGAACGCAATGCATCTAAAGAAGTATTATCACTAAAGCTACAGCACGGCCAGCATGAACTATGGGACGGCTTGATCCCTGCAAAGGGTAAGTAGGCAGCCCGTCCTCGGACGGGTTCAATTTTGTATTTGTTACCTCCTTTAACTCTACAATTTTAGCTTGCTCACTTAGGAACATCGCCACTTCGGCCCATTTTCAGTTCGTTTTGAATCATCTACTTGTTTCACGTTTACCTTGGATTTCTATTTCGTTCATTGTCGCTTCGGCTAGTTTCTCATTCTTTCTAAATCAACAACTTATTTTAACAAGCTCGGATTTTTAAATTGATTCACTCATCAATTCGGCGAGTAATCATACCACTTCGGCATGATATCGTGACCTGATTACCTCAGACCTTTATTGGTCCTCGTCTCGTTGCTGGCCACAACGGGGCAACAAATACAAAGTTCTCTAAACGGACTTTTACCACCTTTCCTAGGACGAGGGTGCAAGTTACATCCTACACGGATAAAAATTGAGCGCGCTATACAAATATCAGACCAAAAACGTATCAGGTCACCACGGTTTACTATCGCACACGAGATTATAAGTCGGGACTACATCGCTTTCTCTAAAACCGAAGTAAACTCTTAAAACCCGGACAAAATACTCATCCTCTCGGAAACGCCAGTCTACAGTCAAATTCAATGAGACTACCAAATCATCCTTGGCTAACAAAAACAAAACGTCTCGTCGTTCTTACGGCTCGGCACCATACACAGCGAAAATGCCTCGTCGTTTACACGGCTCGTCACCATACAAAGCAAAAACGCCTCGTCGTTAAATATGGCTCGGCATTGCCAGCAAAAATTTGCCTCGACATTATCACTTAAAAATTTTCCAGAATCACCTAAAAGACGCGTTACAAAACTACCTCCCAGCTCGGGATTAAGAATCCAAACGGGATCCTCAAAACAACTCACCCCTTAGCCCGTATTCTATCAATTTCAAAAATTTTCATCCCTGAAAATTTTTTCTAAGCCAACAGTTTTCGTAAACATTCTCACGGAAACAACTGAATCAGAAAACGGCTAAGGAAAAGAATAACATAACCAAATGCAAAAGAAATAACAATTGTCAGGAGGATAAAGCCATCTAGGCACCAGTAACATATGAGTTCAAAAAGCAGATAAAAATCCTAAGTACAGAAGCATGTGAAACAAAATAGGAGAAAGCAGAGAGTATCAGGCCACGGACCGCGTTTCACGCTCGGGAAGGAGGTTCGAGAGGACCGGCGTACCCGCGTTCGATCCGTTCGGATCTACGACGCCTAAGTTGGCCGCTGTCTCTTCGAGCGGCTCGTTACCAAGGCTGGTGTCGACCGAGTCCGGCGATACGGGTGAGAAAACCAGCTCGCCTCGAATCTCGGAGGCGATGCGTTCACACGCGTCGTCGTCGGCATATTCGCTCTCCCAGCTCTTTAGCTGTGCCTCCTCATCATCGAGCGTTGGGGCGTCTGGTTTCTTCAGGACGGCAATCATCGCAAGGTTGACCTTGATTTGCCCCAGATCGTTCTCGTCGTTTTTGGCTTTCTCGAGCTTGGCCAGACCCTCCTCTACTTTGGCGAGGCGCTCCTGAAACTTAGCGGTCAGCTCTCGCCTCGCCTCCTTCTTCGCACGTTTGACCTTGGCTTCCAACAGAGCATCCTTGGCCTCAATACGCCTTTTAAGCAACGCCACCTCGGCGCTTTTGGCTCTCCTTGCTTCCTCCAGGCGAATCACCGAGGCGGAAACTTTGTCAACGTCTGCGCGGAGAACTATCTTCTCCTCTTCCAACCTCGACACTCTGGACATCGCCTCGTCAAGTTTCCTCTTTGCCGCCGCGGCTTCGTTCTGAGCCTCTTCCAGCTTTGCCCTTGATGCCGCGGTCTCATTTCGGGCCTCGTCCAAGCGACGTTCGACCTTAGACAGGTCCGCCTCGTACTCGGCCATCAGGTCGTTAATGGCCGCGACAAACTGCAAAGAACAAACTCGCGTTAAACACTTAGTAAACATTTGCAAAAATAAAGGAAAGAAAATAGAACGTACCTTGGTACCGCGCTGTGCAATCGCGCCGTACGACCTCGGCCTCCTCAGCTTCTCCGGAGGAGGAAGACGCGTGTTCGCGTTATTTACACGCGAGAACATGACGGCAGAGGCGTCGGGGTCGTCGACGACCAACTTGCGCGCGGCGGGGTCCCTGGGCGTCGGCTTCCGCCTCTTCTTGGATGGCTCATCCTTCTGAACAGCAACGCCCTTCCCCTTATCAGCGGTCGAACGTTTTCGGCTCGGGTCATGTTTCTGAACAACTGAAGTTGGGGGCCTCGTCGACTTCGGGAGGGCTAAAATGGCGGAGTCCGAAGGAGTTTTGCTCCGCACCGCCGAATCATCCCCGGACACCTCGGGAATAATTTCGCCTGGTTCCACCTCGGGCGCTGCATCTCTCTCGACCGCTTCGGCAGTGTTGCTTTCTGCGGCTCGGCGGGTCGGGTTGAGGGATGGCCTTGGTTTGTGCTGGAACCGCCTCGGTCTGCGCTTGAGCCGCCTTGGCAGCTCGTCTCGCGGCCGCCTCTTCTTCACGCCTCTTCCTATCTCTTAGAGTGATTATCACCATTTTCTCTCGTGTATCCCTTGAGGAGCTTGAAGATGAAGAACTGACAGGGACTCCGCCAAGGATAGCTCGGGCTTTCTCTACTCTCTCGAGGGTGAAATTCTTCCTCCAATTGACCTTCCGAGCCGAAAGAGAGTCTCGAACAATAAAGAGATCGTCGGGAATCGGGGGAAGAAAGCACCGAACTGCAAAACAAAACAAAAAAGAATAAAATTTTCAGAAAGGGAAGAGGATACCAAAAAACAGTTCCGAGCCGAGGCAAATCTTCGGATAGGCTACCAAGTGGTCCCCAAGCGGTCTTGGTTCTTTGAACGTAATCCTCGCCGACCGACGCCTCGTTCACCAAGTCGTAGAAGAAGCGTTCAGTCCAAAACTGGTCCTTGCTGGGAAAACCGCCTATGATCCGTCGCTTCGCCTTGTTGGAAATATAGAATCTATTTCCTTTCGGAGCTTTCCTGATTTCCAGCAAGTTCAGCAGGTGATTCAGCATTCAAAACTTCGAACTAAGATGCCAATCATATGCCGTAATCCCCTCGGCATGATTTGCCCAATCGAGATCCCGTGTTTCCAGAGATATTTAAGGATCACTCCGGGGATCGGGAACCAGAGAAAGCAAAGCTCGAAGAACACCTCGTACAGAGTGAAGTGATTCTCTGGAGGCTTGTCGGCTCGGTCGCTCTTCTCTGGAACGACAAACTCCACCGCCTCGGATATCCCGAAGCGATGCCTCAACGCCTCGAGCGACTCAAGGGAGCAAATCGTAGAGCCAGGCGGGTCAGGTTTTTGTCTCTTAACTCGTGGCCCTCGCCCAGATGTGGAAGCGCCTCGGGACGCCATGAGACGTTCCAATTCACGCTTCGCCTCGAAAAGGTCAAAGGGAAATTCCTCCTCCTCGGCTTTAAGTGCGGCGCGATTAATGTCTTCATCAGGAACGGGATCCTGGGGACGGCTTGTCGAAACCGACGGCTCGTCATCCGGAGAGCCGACATCTGACGGATTTGCATGATTTGACGCCTCGTCAGATGAAGGATTGGAAGGGCTCGGTGAAACAGACGCCTCGGGGGATTTTGTCGTACCTCTCGCCTCGGCATCTACGCGGCTCGGCTCGTAATGATAAAGTGAATCCAACGAATCGTCGGAGCGGTTCGACATAATTTACGACTTATACAAGAGTTACAGCACGACTCGACGAGCCTCCGCCGGAAAAAGATCTGGAACGGCGGAGACCTCGGAAACCCTAGACGGAAAATAAATAAACTAGAGAGAGAAAGAAGAGAGAAGGGAGAGCTACCTTTAGTAAAAACGAGTGAGCCTGAAGATAATGAGGAAGAATGTAGGAGCTCACCCATTTATAGGAAAACCGAAGCGCGTGAATTCCGTGTAAACCTCGGGAAACCGTCTAAACAGCGCGTGGGATCTGCGGTGAAATGGCTAGACCGAACTGCGTCGGTCACACGCGCCAATGGATCAGGAATTTTCTCTCGGAAGACCAACAGTTGGGATACCCAAGTTTTCAGCCGGTATCTTACTAAAGTAAACGCCTCGGCATTAACTCTCTCTTGAAACGCCTCGTCGTTAACGAAACGGCTCGGCATTAACTCTCTCTTGAAACGCCTCGTCGTTAACGAAACGGCTCGGCATTAACTCTCTCTTGAAACGCCTCGTCGTTAACGAAACGGCTCGGCATTAACTCTCTCTTGAAACGCCTCGTCGTTAACGAAACGGCTCGGCATTAACTCTCTCTCTTGAAATGCCTCGTCGTTAATGAAACGGCTCGGCACAAACTTTCTCTCGAAATGCCTCGCCATTTATTCGGCTCGGCATAACCTTCTCAATTCGCCTCGTCGCGGCTCATCATTACTAAACGAAATCGCCTCGTCACGGCTCATCATTACTAAACGAAATCGCCTCGTCCTTAACTTGCCTCGGCATCTTCGGTACCCTCTCGAAACACCTCGGCACCCTCGGCACTCCTTGGGAACGCCTCGGCGTCTTCATTCCTAAAACACCTCATCTAGGCTTACCTCATAACAGCTTGACTCGATGGTTTATCCTACGGTCAGGAGTAATGGACCTCGTCACTCTTGCCTCCGAAACTGACGAGCTGGGGGGCTAACTGTTGGGGTCGGTTTTCACCCCAAGCAGATAAAACCATCTCAAAATGACTAAGTATGGAAGAAGGACAAAGTAGCCGAGCCGTGCTCACCAAGACAAGTGGGAGAGCCGTGCTCACCAAGACAAGTGGGAGAGCCGTGCTCACCAAAACAAGTGGGAGAGCCGCGGTCACCAAGTGGGAGAGCCGTGAAGATAGACCAGTGGGGAGAGCCGTGAAGAAAGATAGATGGGCCGAGCCGTATCGTAATGGGCCGAGCCCCACTCCAACATGCTTGGGCCGAGACGCGCCTCAGTAAGGTGGACCAGATCATGTCTCGACTAAAATGGCAAGTGGGCCGAGCCTTGGCGAAGTTAGATGGGCCGAGCCGTGGAAAAGTTCAGATGGGCTGAACCAAGGCCTTGAGAGACGAAGCCCATAAAAACCCTAGGCGAAATACAAAGGCGGTGAGGCGCACGAGGCGATAAGGAAATATTCCGAAAATCTTTCCCGAGATTCTCGGCTAGGCGGTTCAGAGAATTAATATAAATAGACGATGTATACAATTCATTTTGTAACTTTTGCGACCCTAAGCAATAAGAGCTAAGCACTTTTACAGCAAGAAAAACTTTCTTTCGATCTTACTGTTCTTGACGATAAACCCTAGAAGTTTCCGATCCCTTAGTTTTCCTTAAACAAATTTCTGGTTGTGCGAGTTTTGGCTCACACAAACTTGTACCCCTCAATTTCTTCTGCTAAGAGCCCATTGTCTCCTTGTTCCATGGTTAGAGTAGCTTGAAGAGGGTCCTCAATGTTCAGTTCCTCAAGCAACTCATCAGCCAACTGATCCATTGTTTCCACATAGAAGCATTGACCCTCAATGGTGGGTTTCTTCATCATCTCATTCACATCAAACTTGAGCTTCTCAGACCCAAGTTGAAGCTTTATTATCCCACCTCTCACATCAATAGTAGCTCCTGATGTGGCCAGGAATGGCCTGCCTAAGATAAGAGGATCAACTGGTTCCTCATCCATTTCCAGCACAACAAAATCAGTTGGAACCTCAAAACCACCAATCTTGACAGGTAGATCTTCCAACATACCAACAGGTAATCTAACTGATCTATCTGCAAGGATAAGAGAGATCCTTGCAGGTTTGAAAACTCTAAAGCCCAGCTTCTTTGCTATGGAGAATGACATCAAACTGACAGAAGCTCCCAGATCACAAAGACATCCTGAGAATAGAAGAGGTCCAATGGCGCAGGGGAGTGTGAAACTCCCTAGATCAGTCAACTTTCTTGGTATGGACTTCTTCTGAATGATAGCACTGCATTCATGACTTGGTACCACCATGCCTTGAAGCTCTTTAGTCTTGTTCAGAATGGCATCCTTCAAAAACTTACCCATCTTTGGCATCATTAGGAATGCATCAATGAGAGGCATAATGAGTGGTGTCTCATTGAGTGCTTTCTCAAAAACAGCTCTTGCCTTGTCTACAAGCTGCTTCTTAAACCTCCCTGGAAATGGGAGCTTGGGTTGGTATGGAGGTGGTGGCACATATATCTTTTCTGGTTCAGGTTTCTTTTCTACCTCTTTACCCTTTTCTTTCCTTGGTCTCTCAGCAACTTGATCATCTTTTAAGGCTGCCTCCCCCTCAGTTTGATCATTGTCCTCAATGATCACATTTTTTTGCTCAATACCAGGTAACTCCTTTCCACTCCTCAGTGTAATGGCCTTAGCATATTCCTTGGGATTGTGTTCAGGTTTTCCAGGTAGGTGGCCTTGGTTCCTTGAGCTTGAGGCCTGGTTTTGCTTCAGTTCTTTGATTTCCTGCTGCAATACATTCTGGCTTGCAAATATCTGTTGACCCTGAAGCAGTTGTTGCAGAATCCCAACCATATCTGACCCCATTTGTGGCTGCTGCTGAACTGGTGGTGGCTGAAACTGGTGTTGACCCGGTGCCCGCTGCTGGAACTGCTGTGAACTGAAACCAGTACCCTGAAATGGTTGCTGTTGCTGACCAAAACTCTGATTCTGAGCAAACTGATTCTTGGGTTGGAATGACCCTTGAAAGTTGTTCTTGGGAACAAAGTTCTTTGGAGCTTGAGAATTGGGATAGACCTGGTCTTGTGGGTTTGCTGCATTGGGATTCCTGTAAGAGAGGTTCTGATTTGCATTGCCATACTGATATCTCTAGAACCTCTGATTCCCAATGTAGTTAAGCTCCTCCTGTGTTAGACCTTCTTCACTTATGTTCTCAAAGATTTGAGAAGGTTCCTCATACTCTCCTACAAAGTGCATTGGCTTTTGAGTGGTGAATTTTAACTTGTCCAATTCACTTCTCAACTCCTTAACTTCTCTAGTGAGCCTCTGTTCTGAGCTTGAACCTTCAGATCTATTTGATCTGTCATAGTCTTCACCATAAGTGTCATTGCTCATTGCTAAGTTCTCCACTAGCTCTAAAGCAGCATGAATCCCCTTTCCCAGAAAGTTTCCATTGGAGGCAGTATCCAGCTGTTTCTAATCTTGGGAAGAGCTCCTCTATAAAGTGTGCTGAGAACAGAAGCCTCACTAAACCCATGGTGTGGGCATTGGTTGGTGTAGCTCCTGAATCTCTCATATTCTTCACCAAAACTCTCATTGCTGTGCTGAGTGAAGCTAGAGATTTGATTCCTTAGTTTAACAGTTCTGTAGGTGGAGAAGAACTTAGATAGGAAGGCTTGCTTGCATTGCTCCCACGTTTGAATGGAGCCTCTTGGAAGATTCTTCTCCCATTGGTGAGCTTTGTCACCAAGACTGAAGGGGAATAATCTTAGCTTGAAACTGTCTTTAGAAACTCCATTTATCTTTGTTAGATCACACACTTTATCAAATTGATCCAAGTGTTCCAAGGGATCTTCCATTGCTAATCCATGGAACTTTGAGTTCTGGACCATATTCAACAAGGATGCCTTCACTTCAAAGTTGTTGTTTTGCACAGGTGGTGCCTGAATTCCAGCTCCATACTGATGAGCATTTGCCCTGTCATTCTCTCCAACATAGACCTGTGGCTGCTCATATCTCCTTTGCTGGTGTTGGAAGGGCTGATGTTGGTGGTGCACCTGTTGTCTTTGTTGTACATTGGCTTGATGCCTCTGCTGATGAGTTGGAGCTTGTCCCTGGTGGTCATAAGCTTGCTGTTGATGCACCTGTTCCTGATGAACATTACCCTGATGTAACCCTTGACCAACTCCATTACCGTCTCCATTACCCTGAGCCTTTTGCTCCTGAACCGGTTGTTCTATGTCCACCACATGCTCTCTTTGGTCTTCCATATCAGCCTGATCAATCTGTCTTCCACGCCTGTCCCTTCTCCTCCTTGGTACCAAAAGATTAATGTTGTCGTTTAAGGGGAAAGGTGGACCACAGCTTCTTGATCTGGACCTGGTGTTCATGCACCTGAAATCACAAACAGAACTTGAAAGTAATCAGTAAAAACAAAAAATAAGCACTTGATCTCAAGAACAGATCAGAGCTTAATGCTAAACACTCCACAATTTGGAAACAGCGCCAATTGATAGACAAGACTTTTGAGGGTATCAGGGCTATCAATCCCCTTGTCAATGTAGCACAAAGAGGTTATCAATCCAAGAATGTGGTGATAGACACTAAGCTATGTGATCAGTTTCTCAATTCAAGCAAGCAAATGTGGTTTTGATTGACTAATGAAAACTACAAACTTAAAACAAGATTAATGACTAAGAAGTGATCAAACAAAGAACTAAGCAAATGACAAGTGATGAGAATGTATGTATGATGATGAGAAAGGTCTTAGACATGATAGTGGATTAGGGTGCCTTCAGTGATAAACTAGTGAGCTAATGAATCATATGATCAATGCAATCCATTCAACTTAAACATCATTAATTAAGCTAATCCTCTTATGAAGGTATCAACTCCTATGCTAAAACAGTTTCTAACCTAATCATCATTAGTGAAACATGAATCAACAAGCATTAAGAATCAGTTTAATCTGTCATTTAAGCATATAGACAATCATTCTCATGATGAATAACACTTA